ACTGGAGGCATTATGTTTGTCAAGAAATAAAAACACTTCTTCTGCCATTTTCTACCATTGTCAAAGGCAATTTTAATTTGGCCATTTTTTACTAAAACTAATTTCTGACATTTTTAAAACACCTCGTGAATTGAAAGACATTTATTGATGCAAGATGCAGATACAGAAGCACCGAATAAAATCAAACTTCAGCCTTTCACGTGGTATCTCATTTCAACGTAGACATTTGGCATTTCTCCTTTGGGTCTGCTTCGTAACACTACGATCGTGACATTGATTTATAACGAAATTTCGAAAGAGCCTGTCGCGTGGGACATTGGTACTTGCGAAAACGTTTTCTCTACCCGCTTACTTACTAACAGATTACCGAATTTCTAAGGAAACGAAATTACAATCCTTTTCTCAGAAGAAATAAAACTTTTAAAAGTAACCTTCCCCTTTCTTTCACCACGTTCGCTGCCACCGACGCAGCATATGCGTCCCAGAGTGCATTGCCCAGCGTGCTACCGATTTTCCGGTGGCAGCGAACGTGTTAACTTCGTCTTTAATTTTTCTTCGCAAGGTATTGAAGCAAAAGTAAAGAACAACCTGAAACACCGTTTTAATTATTATTTACACAAATTTATGCAACTATATTTTTCAGCATATTTGCTTACACAAGAATCTCGTTTCCTGGTTTAATCGATGCTTCCTGTCGACAATTTTTGTTCTTCCGTTCGAAAAGATGAAAATTGCACAGAAATGATACTCACTAATTGTCACATTATTTACGTAATATCTGTGAAAATATTTTCAGCAAATTCTTTCTTTCGCGTGCAATTAACAGTGAAAAGTTTGCCGTTTGTTTGCAGATTCGTTTGGGCAACTCTGGAAAATATTCGACGAGGTATCTTCTACAACCTTTCTACGGTTGAAGAAAAAGTGGACAGAAATAACAGAACTGATTCGTCCATTTTTCATTAAATTCGGCGAACTCGCGAGCTCTAATGGCACAATTTACCGCGTTTACGACAGAGGCACGCCTTGCACGCCACGATACCGCTTATCAGTTCAGATAACGCCGGGTGAAATCATCGAGAAATATCAGAGAAACTCCGAACTACCTCGTCGTAGATATCGAACAATTAAAAAAGAGACGTTCGTTTCTTTCAAAAATTACCTTCAATCTGAATGCACAATTCAAGGAGCTGAAAAGAAATTCTAATGCCTTCGATACTGAATGGAGAAGAGGAGGAATATTGCAAAAGGAAAAGGCGAGAGAAGCAAAACTTTCATTCTCACATGTGAAACTGCAAGATTTTCAATAACAGACAAAGGCAACAAAGAACGAACGTTCGAATACCTTCAATTTTCACTCTAATTTCACAAACTTCTAAAGAAACAAACAGAAAAAAAAAATTAGAATAGGAGACAAATTCTAATGCTTCCTATTCAAACATAGAGAATTAAAAAAATTACTTTAAAAATTGCTGCATTAGACGGCAAGAAAGAGAGGAATTTTAAAATACCAGAAAAATGGGGTTGCTGACAGTAGCCACGGTGGCGATAAAAAGCGCGACCATTTTGCTCGGCAAAGTGGCAATAATTCCAGCTCTGATCGCGGCCCTCGCCTACTTCAATTACGATCTGATGGATCCTGAGCATCAGCCGAGGGTAACGAAGGCTCTCAGAAGGGAGTATGATTTCGTAGTGGTCGGCGGTGGATCCGCGGGAAGTGTGATGGTGAACAGGCTGACGGAGAATCCGGAATGGAGTGTACTGCTGTTGGAAGCTGGAGGTCACGAGACGGAGATCACAGACGTTCCTATACTGTCTCTTTATTTACATAAGAGCAAAGTGGATTGGAAATATAGGACACAGCCGCAAGACTCCGCTTGTCAGGCTATGGTGGATCGACGATGTTGCTGGACCAGAGGAAAGGTGAGAGATTTTTAAGAGATCCTTTCCTCGTAAATGTCGACGACGTTGTTAACTGTGTTCACTTCTCGAGCAGAAATTTATCATCTCTAGATCGTGATAAAAAAAAAAATGGATGAAAATTGTAATTGATTGCTTCGTTTTGGTTCTTGGAAATGTGAATATGACGCATTTTACATTTAATATAGGCTGTTAATAAATAAACTACTGTGTTCTAAGTGACTGTAAACTAATGACTAACTTGTCTTCCACAGTTAGGAGGATAAAAACTGTGAATGATATAAAATCTCTGTTTTGTTAGATTAATAAACTATTAATTTTAGTAACTG